CCCCAAAACCCCAAAACCCCAAAACCCCAAAACCCCATTTTTAGACTGGTTAATTGAAATATAGATGTTCGTATTAATGACGTTTTCATCTTATTTTTTGGAATGGCCTTGAGTGTCCCAAAGACGTCATATTTGGGCTATACTGTGAGTTTACTGATCGTTCAGAGATCTGATCATGTAATGTAGGATTCCACCATTTTTGAAGTACTCTTTCTCTGGTTCTGTATCAATTCTTACTACTGCCTTGAAGGTTTTTCCTGTACTTGTAGTGACATCAACTTCTCCTCTGAGTGGTAAGTCTCCATTTTTGAGTTCGATATTAAATCTTTCAGTTCCATCTAATCCAAGAGACTCAGCACTTTCACCTTCAACAAATTGCAGGGGAAGGATTCCCATTCCAACCAAATTACTTCTATGAATTCTCTCGAAGCTTTCAGCAATCACAGCTTTGACTCCTTGTAGATATGGCCCTTTAGCTGCCCAATCTCTTGAGGAGCCTGATCCATATTCTTTTCCTGCAAGAATTATCATAGGTTTTCCTTCTTTTTGATAATCTTCAGCTACGTCGAAGACTGCCTTCTCCTCATTAGTATTAACATTGACTGCAAGTGGACCAACCTTAGAGGCCATTTTATTGATAAGTCTGATGTTTGCGAACGTTCCTCTAGCCATTATTTCGTCATTTCCTCTTCTGCTTCCATAAGTGTTGAAATCCCTCTCTGAAACACCTTTGTCTTGGAGATATCTTGCAGCAGGTGAGTCTCTTGCAATCTTTCCGGCAGGAGAGATATGATCAGTTGTAATAGAGTCTCCCAAGTTCAAAAGGCAGTATGCATCCTCAATATCGTTGATTAGTTCTGGCTCAGCTCCCATTCCTTTGAAGAATGGAGGATTGTGAATGTAAGTAGAATCATCCCAGTTATAAAGCTTTCCTGATCCAGCTGAGAGGCTTTGCCAGTCTTCATTTCCCTTAGTAATATTAGCATAATTCTTTGTAAAATGCTCGGACTTGACAGATTCATTGATCACCTTCTCTACTTCTTCTCTTGTGGGCCAGATTTCCCTGAGATAGACATCATTACCATCTTTATCTTGGCCGATTGGCTCATTGGCAAAATCAATATCTACAGTTCCTGCAAGAGCATAAGCAACACAGAGAGGTGGCGATGCTAAGTAGTTTGCTTGGGTAAGTGGATGAACTCTACCTTCAAAATTTCTATTTCCTGATAAAACTGCCGCAGCGACTACGTCGCTATTTTCTATGGCATCATGAACTTCTTTGGGTAAATCTCCTGAATTTCCGATACAAGTCATACACCCATATCCTGCAGTAGTATAGCCAAGCTGGTCTAGATATTCTTGGAGTCCTGCTTCTTTATAATAAAAGGATACAACTTCTGATCCAGGAGAAAGAGAAGTCTTTACATATGGCTTAACTTTCAATCCTTTCTTAACTGCATTCTTTGCAAGCATTCCAGCAGCAAGCATTACTCCTGGGTTAGAAGTGTTAGTGCATGAAGTGATTGCTGAGATGACCACTGACCCATGCTTCAACTCGAACTCTTCGCCCTTATAGTTTAGCTTAGCAGTTGCTTCGGTTTGCTTTTCATCAAGTCCAAATCCATGAAATCCGACTTCGTTTGTCAAGGATTCATTGAATTCCTTCTTTAATGTAGACATCCTAACTCTATCTTGAGGTCTCTTGGGTCCAGAGAGACTTGGTTCGACAGCAGATAGGTCTAAATGCATCAAATCTCCACTATATTTAGGATTTTTCTCATTAAGATAATCTCTATAGATCCCATTTTCTTTTAAATATTCTTGAGTCATGTTGACATGATCTTTGTCTCTTCCAGAAAGTTTCATATAGTTGATAGTCTGGTCATCGACTGAGAAAAATCCTCATGTAGCTCCGTATTCAGGAGCCATATTACCAATGGTTGCTCTATCAGCAATTGTAAGGTTAGCAACACCTTCTCCATAGAATTCCACAAACTTTCCTACAACTCCTCTCTGCCTGAGCATTTGAACAACAGTCAGCACCAAATCAGTGGCTGTTGTCTCAGGAGATAATTCACCTGAAAGTTCGAACCCTACGACTTCAGGAAGAACCATTGAAATTGGCTGTCCGAGCATGACTGCTTCGGCTTCAATACCTCCTACTCCCCATCCGAGGACACCAAGTCCGTTGATCATTGTAGTATGCGAGTCAGTACCGACAACAGAGTCTGGGCATGGCATTTCACCTCTATTGTAGACAACACTTGCGAGGTATTCAAGATTTACTTGATGAACTATTCCACTGCCTGGTGGGACAATACTGAAATTTTCAAATGCATTCTGCCCCCACTTCAAGAATTGGAATCTTTCTTTGTTTCTATTGAATTCAATCTGTTCATTCCTTGCTCTAGCATCACCAGATCCGAAGACATCTACTTGCACTGAGTGGTCAATGACAAGATCGACTTGTTTAAGAGGATTGATTTTTTCAGGATCTCCTCCCATATTTTTGATAGCATCTCTCATAGCAGCAAGATCGACGCAAGCAGGGACACCTGTGAAGTCTTGAAGGATAACTCTAGCTGGATGGAATGGAATTTCAACTCCTTGTTCTGAAGTCTTTTCCCAGTTGAGTATCTTTTCTACGTCTTCTTCCTTAACTGAGAAGTTGTCACAATTCCTGACAGCTGACTCTAATAGGACTCTGATTGAGTAGGGTAGCTCCTCATACCTAGAGTCTTGCAGGGCTGGCAGGTTGAAGTATTCCTCTTTTCCTTTAGAGACAGTAAGTGTTTTGATATACTTTGAGAATGGGTTCGAACTCCTGTTCAAAAATCTTTTCATTTAAAATCTATTTGAAGATATAATTCTATAGCCAACCTTTTACCTTAAATAAGGGGTTTTGGGGTTTTGGGGTTTTGGGGTTTTGGGGTTTTGGGG